CCATCGAATCAAAAATCAAAATAAAAACTTTGGTCAATGGTAAGACCCAATACCATATTTCCATGTAAGATGCGTGGTCACGTGACGGGGAGACTTTGGCTCACAAAATTGGTCCCCAGAAATTGTTAATCTGAACCAAAATTTAATTAAATTTAATATTGTTAATGAGATTAGATATATATCTATTTAATTAAGAAATGGTCCAAAATGTGAGCGGAGCCCACCGAAATTTAGTAAGAGATGGGATAGGGGAAGAAGCACTAGCTACCAATTTTCTTGGTAGATATTGGGAATAGAAAAGTGAAAAGGTAGAAACTGGGAAGAAAGAACAAATTGGTTGTCGACGCAATTAGGCACGTTTTGGGGAAGTTGGTTCTGCACGGGACGGTGTTTTGAAAACTGAAAATAACATATTTTGGTTCCATAAGGATTGAGGAACGGGTCTTTTTCTTGCAACTACTTTTCCAAGTTTTGGGTGCTCATAACATAAGCTGCCCTACGTCCATCTCTATCCTTATACTTGTTGGTTTTAATCGAGCAATGCCTCTTTCCTAGGAAGCTGCTTCTTTTGTTGACCCTCGGATTCAACAATCAACCTTGCCGCTTTTTTTTTTTTTTTTTACTTGCTGTTTTTCTTTGTCATTTTTCAACCATTCTTTATCTATCTCTACTCTCACAAAATTCTCTCCTCTGTTCCCATCACTGTTGATATTAAGTTTGCACGATGAGAATAGTCTAAACTCTTCTAACAAATGTGATCCCGGCTAATTTATGTCTTAATCATCAAACTTTAGAAAAGTATTATCTACATTTGATCGCCATCATACATTTTTTTCCTATTTTCCAAAGTCCAATGAAATTCAAAATCGGATTATCCAATTCCAATACCAAACTATTGGCAAAATTTGTTCAACAAAATAGAAGCCAATTTCACCCTTTTCGCCTTTTTCTTTGGAATTTTGAATTTTTCATGCACAATTTCAGAGACTACCCAGTATTGATCAGATGGAAGGAAAATTAATATTATTTAAAGGCTCAGTTTGAATTTTAATAAAATAATTCCCACATTATCTTCATACCTCTCTTTCTTTTAAAAACAATCAATAAAAATAATTTCTTATAAGCTTACTCCTTTGTCTTAATTCTTTAATAAAAATAATTAATAGAGTAAATTTTCAATAATACTAATGTGCAAATAACAAGTTTTTTCAAAAAATAGAACCAATCGTTATTGAAGGAATGTGGAGCACCTCCTTTGGGCACCTAAAATTTGTAGGAAAAGTGATCGGTGTCACTATAAACCTGAAAAAGAGATGTATATATTTTTTTTGTCAAAAAGTGGTAATTTAATTTTATGCAGCACTCAAGTGGCATTGTTTGGGCAAATAAAGATATAGGTAGAACATTATCTCCGGGCAGGGCCCATGGGAAAAGCGACCCGTAATGGGCTTTCTATTTATATTCATTATGCTTCACGTAACTCCTCCTGTTATTAGCTGGTAGACTCCAATTGTTCCCATTTCAACGAAAATACATGAATGCAATTAGAACTTAATTTAATGCTAGTTGTTATGTTTTGGGATATCTTCTCTTCTACACCTTTAACACGGCAAGTCAACATCTTAGAACACGTTACGGTTTTATTTATTACTACTTTCATCTGATCAATGAAAATTAATCTCGTAATTAAGATACAACTTTATATGCTTTCTAAGAACAATTTTTCATTATATATAATATAAATCATTTTTTAAACATCTGTCCAGTATTAGATATTACAAATTTATGTATGATAAATTTTTATAAAAATATCACATAATTCAATGTATTAATAACACTAAATATTATCATTTTTAATAAAAATATTATTTATGAAATTTTTTGTTGTGTATCTTTAAATACACGTCAAGACCAGCATTAAAAAATCTTCCACTCAAAAGAAACACACTATACAACATGATACAAAATTTGATTAAAGGCATAAAAGAAGCTATTGATATAACACATTCTAAATCATTCATTTGGGAGGGTAGGTAAAAATAATTTATTTTATTAATATGTTTTTATCTATACATATATACACATATATTGATTACCATAGTATGAAAAAAAAAAAGATATAGATAAATTGATTAAACTTTAATATAATACTTTTTTAGTTATTCAAAGATTTACATTATGTATTAATTTTTTCTTCTAAAAACTTAAAATATTAAAATATATAAATTATTTTTTGACTTGAATTTATAACTCAGTAAAATAATCAATTTAATTTCATTTGAGGAATTTATTTAATATCATAAAATTGTAATACTTAAATTGGCATTAAATAAATTTTTTAAATACTGAATAAATATTTCACTATTTCTTTTATAAGCAATATATAGCATTCTATTTGTTAAAATATAGTATAATATAAATAAAAAATGATTTAATATTACTATCAATATATTCTAAACATTCAATAATAAAAAAATAAAAAATAAAAATTTTATAAATATGTACGGACAGGAAATGTAGTTAATTTATAAAGCAGCCCACCTTACCTTGTAGATTGAGACTGCGGTTGGTTATTTTTATCATATCATTTTGTTACTGTGTTTTACTTTTTTAATTCTTTGTTATTCGTTTTGTTCCTTTGACGAATACATATATAGCTTAATTTCGTAAAAGAGCAACGGAATGGTGTCGCATCAGAACATTTTTTTATAATTTTTGGGTGGGAGCTTCAGAACTTAAAAATCCGTGTTTATTGTGGCTAACTTTGTAGGGCAAAACAAGCAACTTTCTATAGCATGTGTGGACCTTTTCCTCGTTATTTCCGACTGCGATGATACACATACGGTGTTCAGATTATTATGATGACATTACATCCTTATCTAAGACGCGGATTTTTGTCTGAAAGGGACCCTACTATGTCTAAAATGTGAAATTAAATCATTGATCTTAGTGGAGGAAATCTTTTGAGCTTTGGAAAAAAACAAACACCAAGGAATCAAATCTTGAATTCGCCGTGATTTCTTGTTTAAAAGCAGCGCTGTTGGTGTAAATTTTTGCTATGAAATTGTACGAATATTTAATAATCAATAACTAAGAAATTTTAATATAACTCATTCCTATTACGTAAAATTATTCTTTCTTATTTACATGCCAACAGCCTAGTAGTCTAGTATCTCTTCTCTCTTTGATCTAGAAAAACCAGAACTGAATGGGCTTCTCTGAGTTGTAACGAACTGGTTGAAAATTGGATATGTAGGTCCATTGGGCGTCGGAATATTTATCGGGGCCCAATTTCTTAAGCGTAAAGTTTATCAAAATATGATGAACCAAAAAGGGAAAAGTTTATCACAATATGTAGACAAAAAAATAATTATAATATATATGAAATATTTATCAGTTCCAACTTACAAAGCAAGCTTAATCATGTGTTACGTTAATCGGCAGTATCTGCGCTAACTAGAAAACTTCTTGAAAACTAAGTTAATTTTAGAGTTTATGGTGGGATGATTTAGAAATAAAAAATACATTATTGAAGAGTTTTTTTTTTAGTAATCAACCTCTACAATATCAATAGCTTGCAGAGACTAAATTGTGATAATGACAAATTTTAAAGATATCCTGTTAAAATCAGTCATTTGAAAGCTAGTTGATGTTGTTGACAAAAAAAACAAAACAAAACTAGTTCATGTGAAAAAAGTTATCACTGGATCCTGTTAAAAGCAAACCTATAGTTTTGGATAATTTAATTTTAGGAAATACTAATCATTCCTCGATGTGATGAATTATAATACTCACATTTATCTTCCACTAGTTCATGTGAGGCGCTCAAAGATACAATACAATGTAAGATAAGCTTCTTCACGTTTCCCTAAAAATCTCTCACAAACAAATATTATTGCAACAAAATTCATCAGTTATTTCGGTTGGATCTACTGGTGATATTTTTTTTGTCATGTTACCTGTGGGCTTGTTAAACGTAAATGGTTCAGATTAATTTTGAGATGTTGACAAAAAAAAAAAAAAAAAGGAGATTAGTTTGGAAATGCATACAATTTTTTAATTTTGGTTTTGTGATGACCAAAAATAGATTAGTTTTGAAATGTGTTCTTTTTTTGGGTCCACAAATCCGTCAACCTTGGTCCAATGTTCATATATATTTTCCTAAATTTCGGGGCATAGGATACCCGCTTAGGAAAGAATACACTTATTGACCCAAGAAAAAAGTGGTGCTGCTTTTGGACAGAATTTCCTCCAACAAATTTCACAAAACTTAATCATAACCATGTATTCCTCCATCATTCTCTCTTTTTCCCTCACTGTCCACAATTCATCATTTGAATGGGATAAATAACTTTTTCTACATCCCAATATTTTCAAATATAATATTTTATTGCCTTTCTTAGAATAGCACGGATCTGTAACTGAATTTATTCGAAAATCCTCGTTCACGCTTGTTCAAAGAACAGCATTTTTTAATGCATGTTATTAATTATTAAAGGTCGAAAAAACTCGGCAATGCTAAAGTAAAGCATAGTATGGTTCTCCTAGAATATATAGTTAGGCAAGTCATATCCTCGTTCAACAGAAATCCTTTAGTATACATAGATTGATAACCTTCCTTCACAATCATATAGCATACAAGAATATATCCCTTACAATTCCTGGCTTCAAAATTGACAATTCAAAACATCACACGCACCATTCTACAGACTTTTGTGAAGTAGGAATAGAGGATTGATCCCAATATCTCTATTTTACTCAGTTTCTTATATAAACCCAAAAGCAATTTTGCTAGCAATGGGCCCCCCAACTGACATAATTAAAAGTGGAAACACCTAACGTTTTCTTTTAACTAGTTTTGAGACCAGACATTAGAGTTGAGACCGTGGTATCACTAAGACTAGCAACCATCTAGTGAACTGAACAAGTACTCAGAGTAAGGGGAAAATGTGTTAAGAATTCCACAATAAAGCTAGCAAACCAGGATAAAACAATCAGAATAGACAAACATCCTTACCAAACAACATTAATTGACTAGCAGCTCAATTCTTTTGTAAAATCTTGTTACATATTTTGCATTATCAGAAACAACGAAAATTGAGTAGTGAAAATAGTAAGGCTCAGTCTGTGAAGAAAAAACCTGATCGGTGTACTTTCAACAGATATAATTACAAAGAATGTGAGAAAGAATCTGAATTTATTAATATGTATACATGCACATCTTGGAAGAAGTCTACCGCACAAAAAAGCTAATAATTGCACCAAAGTAGTCTTGCAGCTGAAAGGAAAAATTGTTTATACATTAAACAGCAAACAGGAAATGTTCAGCCAAATGAAAGTAATAAAAGTATGATTTTTTAAACTTACTCAAGGGTACACAATAAGAAACTATAAATAGTAACTTTCTATTGAAAATTGTATTTAATGTTGCCAATGCATTAATTTCGTAATATCTTATATTTTCAATAAAAATTTATTATCCATAGGTTCTTATAATGTACCTTTCTACATACATTAGAAAAACCGATAAAAGTAATTCAAACATCAGATATCTCGTTGGAAAAGGGATAAAACATAAGTCAAGTTTCTTATAGCCTCACTATCAACTTTGGAAATCAAACACTGACATGTGGATATTTTAAAATTCCAAAGCATATTTTTAATGAAGACTATTAAATGTAGGAAAATATCCACATCATTGTTTGATTTGAGAAGTTGATAACAAGGATACAAGAAAAATTTTCTAGGTTATGTCCTTTGGAAAAAGCTCCTCCGAAGTGAGCAAGTAAGAATATATCCAACCATCATAATGCACTTAAATTGAATATGGAATGGATACACCCTTACTTGCTTACATTAGAGACAAACCTTAGAGAAGCCTTATCCTTTCCATTTGGTGTATGCATTCAATAATGTCCTCACGTCTCCATGTGTTGTTTATCTAAGCTCATAGTTATGACACAAGCACATGTAGAAAGGAACATTTCCAAATTTCACCTGAGTAAGAATACTTTTTCCAGTTTGGCCTTCAATAACGAGGCCTGCCGTGAGACCAATCATTGCCCATGCTCCATTAATAGCCTCAATTTGGCGTCTTTTCTACAATCACAACATCAAGTTGGCCAAAATTTTAGTGAATTGGGGAACAGGTTTTCAATAGTTTACTACTCAGTTTCCTCCTGTCCTAACTGATAATTAAGGGGAGGGAAAATGACTTTTGAACTTCTTTTATATTTCTATAATAAATGAGGGTACCCCTAAAAATGTGATTCAAATTCAAACATAAGACTGCTTTCACCTTGATTTTCTCTTTTGCTTTAATTCTTTCCATTTGTTTGGCAGCCAAACGCTTGGCTTCCACAGGATCAACCATGACCACATCTTTATTTGAACCTTCCTTTCCTGAAGATACCTGTATAATTACTGATATAAATTATAGATGATGTAGACCTCAATAAACATATAAAAAGGAAATGTCAAAAGGGAGGTGACAGTTTTACATCAAAGGAGCAAAAATGGTATATGTTACACAGGAAAAAGGTGGAAACACATTTTCGTTAACCTTTTAGTTAAATACGCCAAAAAAAACAAGGTTTTACCAAGAAAAGGCTGTAAATTATAATAGTTAATTTATTGCATAAGAAAAGAACCAAAAGAATATATGAAATACATAAAACCTTAACGTAGTCACTAATTTAGATAAAGGATTAATTTCAAGAAACAAGAATATTTTTTCACACGAAGATAGCATCCCTTATTTTCTGATAGAAAGCCAGAAGGCAGCAACAAAGCCAGGTTTCAATTATATACATGCAATTGGTAATCAATATGGTTCTTATACGACAACAATAAGACACATTATCAGCAAGTCGGATATTTTCACATGAGATAGAAACATAGAAACTAGAATATGTACGAAATGCATAAAAGCAACACAAGTGGATAACCATTTGAGGAGATCACACCTATAACTTGAAAGTTTCGGACAATATGATATAAATTCATAAGTTAAAAAAGAAACATCTCGTCTCAATAGTTTTATTAGTTCTTTTCAACCAACAATGAACAAGACACTAGGAAACTAGGAAGTCTTCGCTCTATGCATACATTGGGATTTGCCAGGACAAGAAATGCTTGACCTCGGGTTCTATTGGCAACTATGCTTGCATCTTGCTCTCTTCTCCATCCCCACCTAAAACAAGGAGGATAATCTCATTAAATAGCATAACAAAACGAGGTTCTTACCCTGCAGCTCTGTTGAGCACATTTTCTTCAAGCTTGAGTTTTTATCCACATCACATCAATGCAATATTACTAAGGCAAGTTGCAATATTACTAATCCTTTTGTGCAAACCCTTTTGTGCTACATTTAAGAATTGGCAGATTTTAATTCCAAACACTTTTGATTGGGTTAGGCGAATATTTTCAGAATCTACTAGCCTTGAAAATCATGGATAGAGCAAGGTTTTGTTTAACGAAATAACCATCCATCAACAATTAGAAGCGAGTAAAACACTTGTTCCCAGTTGCCAGAACACGAATCAACGAATTACCCGCATAAATTACAAATTCAGAGCTTCAATTTGAGTGTCAAATTCAGCTATTTATATAAAGGAGAAGAAGAGGGAGGTGGTGTTGTTAGAGAAAAAGGAAAAGCAGGTAAACGAGATTAAAGGGTCGAAAAAGATGTATCAATTTTGGTGAATGAACTTACTTGATGATAGTTGGAGAGAGAGAAAGAGAGAGAGAGCGGTGATGAGTGTTAAAGCAGAGAAGGTGAGCGTTGGACGGTGGAAGAATGGTTGAGGCCATTGTCCACTGAAAAGAGTCCTCTTTATCTTTTTCCCGATTCGCTTCCTCTTGCCTCTTCCCATATTAATTAATATACCCGTTTTAAAATATGGAGTATTTGTTTTAAACATTAAATGAAATATTATATATTAAATTTAATACATAAATATTTTTATAGTATCTTATTTAAAATGAATTTCATATATATAATAAATTTTGTTTATAAATATTTTACACAAATAAAAGGTAACTAATACTTTATCATCTTATTATGGTGTGGTATTTAAAATAATAATAAATAGTTATTATTTAAGTACTGTTTATAATTTTTTAAATAAATACATTTTAATTATTTTGTATAAATTTAAAATAATTTTTTTATCAATATTATTAAATTCTTAATTTTTTAAATTTTTCCTTGAAATAACTACCACTTGATATCTTATTTATTAAAATTTTATATGTTATTTAATACTTGTTGTTATTATTGTTTACTAAACAAAATTAAAGTTTTTATTTTAATATAATATTTATATTTAATGTTATAATAAAATTTTAAGGTATAATTAAATTTTAATTAATAAATAAAATATAATTAATATATGAAACTATATTAAATATTAAAAAATGATAATAGTAATAATTAGAAAATAGGTTTAATTTAGTCAATTTTGTATGATTAGAATGTGATTGTTAAATATTTTATTTGAAAGAGGAATATAATTATTACTTGAGTTTTGTTTTAGGAGTTTGATAGATAAGAAATGAAAGGAAAAAAGAAAGAGAAAGAGAAAGAAATAAAAAAGGAAAAGTAACGAGATTAATACAAAATATTTTAAATTCAAAAAACTTAAAGCTTTATTTAATAGTTAGTTTTTTTTAAGAAAATAAGAAAATAAAAAATTGATTTAATAACAATCTTTGTTTGTGATTTTTGAGATAAAAAGACATTTTTTTTAATTCTTAAACAAAGTCTAAAAATATAAAATTAAGAAAGTTATAAAATCTTTCTCTTTTGTTTAAATATTTACAAAAAAACTAATTATCATATAACTCTCATTTTTAGTCTCTTTTATTCCTAAAATTATCTTTTAAACAAAGTCTCAAGGATGTTTTGTCTTCTTTTATATACTGTTTATATACTAATAGAAATATTTTATTGTCTTTAACATTGTAATTATGTCTTTTAATTCATTTTACAATAAAAAACAAAGAAGAAAAAAGAACTCTAACCTATGTAATTCTCATTTTCACTTATAGTCAAAATATTAAGATTTATGCATGAATATTATGTTTTATTTACTGTTAATTATATCATACACACATTCTTGTATCTTTTTACACCCACACTTGAGTATTATATAATAAGTATAATTTCTTGTTGTCTTCAACTTTTAATATAACTCACATGTGAGTATCATAGCACATTTTCTCTCTATACCTCACTGGGGAGATACGAATTTGCTTAAAATCACGTGAGGACTGGACAGGCTAATTTTCATTTTTACTTTCATTTAAGTGAAAATGAAATTCACTTCCCCTCCCAGTCTTCTCACCGGCTCACTCCTCTCCCTTGCGCTCCTCTTGTCACCTTTGCCCTCTAATTTTCTCTTACTTTTTTCTCTTTAATATGCAAAAATTTTGATTTTTATTTAAGTAAAAATAAAAATAGTTCATTTAACTTTGACGTCAATTAAAATAAATTTATATCTCTCATCAAGTTTATTTTATCGGGATCACAAAAAAGAAACTAAATATTTTTTTTTTCGTATTTAAACTCACAAATTAAACACCGCATTAAAATTAAATAGATCTCTTAATCCGATTTGGCTCATTTGAAGTTTACAAGTAAATAGAGTATGACATTATGTAGAGTTGTGTCTGGTTTTTATTCTCATTACATTATATTTTTACTTTTAAAAGGATAAAACTTAATCTTTGGAAGAAATAATTAGAAATTTAGAGAATTTAAAATTTAAGAAATTTAAATGACATAATTTAATATTTTATTATCTTTAAATATTTTATTTAAATAGAATATTTATTTTTTATTTTAAATATTTTTATTTAGAATGAATAATTAAATTACGTATATTTAAAAAAATAAATTTATCATTACTTTTAATAAAATTATTTAAAAATATACATATTATTTATTATGTCTTAATTTCAATTTTTTTTAAAATGAAGTGACTACAAATATTATATATTATACTTGGATTTGGCTCCATTATATTCTATTAAAAACTAGAGTGAATAAGACTTAATTATTACTATTGTTTATATTTTATTAAAAAACAATACCACAAAAGGCACACACCATTAGACGTGTTGATGACAGCACCTTCAATTTTGAAATTGCTTGCTTTCGTCCCTGGAGTTTTGTCTAGTTTCTACGCTTCCTTTATCACACTCCACGCTCTCGTTTGTTTGTTTTTACTTTTATTTCTCATTCTCATAATTTTTTTTATCTCCCTGTTTCTTCCTCCATTTAACATTGATTCCACTGTCCGCGTTAATTAGAAAATTTCAAGTATACTTATAGATTATGAAATTTCATTGAAAATCTTTATGGGTTTTATCTCTGTCTACAGGTCTATATAAATCTCCGACGAAAATTTGATAGTAAACCCACCGCTTACTCACCAAGGAATAAAGAAGAAGAATAAAGCATATATAAAGCAAATATTTTGATAGCTCAAAAAACTAAAAGTATAATAAAAATAATCCGTAAAAAGAGGTTAAGTTGTTGCAGAGTTGTTGGGGTTCCCTAATTGGATGGCGTTTTCTACAATGAAAGTAGAATAGGGTGATAATCACGTAACTCCACAGCACCAACACTCCGTACCAAACTATCACACTCGCTTTATCCTCAACGCCCATCCAATCCTCACCGTCCATCAAACGCTCCACCTTCCACCCGATAAAGCTCGAAGCAAACACAAACAAACCCGACAGGACCCACCCGCAGACCCGGTTTCCCTCCATCAAACCAAATCCGACCCGAATCGCTTCCCACCCGAACCTCTCTTCGGCTACGGAAACCACGAGGCTGAGGCTCATGACGGCCATGAGGTAGACTTCGAGAGCGGAGGAGATACCGAGGAGGAGGAGTCGTGAGGCGGTGGAGGGGCCGAGTGAGGCGAACGCGCGGGGGAGGGGGGAGAATGTGAGGAGGATGGCGTAGACGAAGATGGTGGTGGCGAAGAGGCGCGTGGCGGCGGAGTGGAGTGAGGGGGGTTTGGAGTGGAGTGCGAGGAGGGTGGAGTGGACGGAGGAGAGCGCGGCGGCGAGGGAGAGGAGGTAGGAGGGGATGGAGAAGAGGGCTTTGGTGCGGAGGAGAGAGAGCGCTTCGTTGCGTGACTCGTGCCACACGTGGCGGGCCTCGAAGCGTGTGGGGGCGTAACGAGCGAGGGCTTCGAGGTGGTGGATTTGGGTGGAGAGGTTGTGGGTTGAGATTGATTGGGATATAGTGAGTGTTGACAGAGGGAGTGTTGTGAGAAGCATTATGGATGTGAACACCACTTTGTTGGTCGCTATTATCTTTATTGATTCCACTATCATCTTCACTGGGGAGAAGACACACCACCACGCGCCTCCTTCTTCGCTGCTCATTCTCTTTCTCTCTCTCTCTCTACTCACCAACGATCATCGTTCATCCGCTTAAGGATTCTAATAATTAATTCATTCTCTGTTGTCTGTGAAAGAAATATTAACAACCCAAAAAATACCTTTTCAGTTTCTCTGTTTGTTTCGCGGTGAGTTTTAACGTGAGTTTTTCAGGTCCAGATTTTAACAGGGGTTTTAAGAACGAATGTAGATGTTTATTTTTTGAAGTTTTTTTAATAATTATAAAATATATGTAAAATATAAGAATATAATAAAAATCAACACTTTCTTAAATAGGAGGATGGAAAATTTAATATTTCCTTTAAGATTATTATAAGAAATTTAGAATTTGGCTCAGTTTAAATTAGTTTTAAATTAAAGAGAATATTTAGTTCCTTATATACACAGAACCAGAAAGCTTTGAGTTTATAGAAACTTTACACAATCAGCGTTTCGTTGAATCCCTTAATTATATTAATGGATGTTCGATTATTAGATGTATGTGTAAAAAACTTAGTTAGAAAATTTAATTTTAAATTGTTTTTATACTTCGAAGGATATTATTTTTTTAACTATTAATTAGAGATATTCATAATATAAATAAATAAAAATATTACAACATTGTCGTATTCGAATCTTATGTCTAAATTTCTCTTGACAACTTATTATTGGTTTTTTTTTTGTATTAAAGTGAAATTTTTTTCATTTATTTTTTAATTTTAATGTTTCTTCTAATTCTTAAAAAATATTTTAAGATACAAATATATATAATAAATAAAGATAATAATATAGTATCACATATAAAATAAATGTAATAAAAATGACATATAATGTTAACTTTTAATATTTAAATACCTGAAATCAATGGTGCTTTCATAGTGGGCATCAATTATATATACTTTAGTTAGGAATACTTTTATAAAAGGTTGCTTTGGTAGCTCACGTCTTACACAATTGGAATTGCCGCCAGATGTATTCCTGACAAGACACGGTAATTGATGCCTAGTATGATAAATATTTGAGTAATTCATTATCTTAATTTATTTATAGATATTTGTTAATTTAGTTTTTAAAATTATAAAAATTTAAAATTTAAATCTTAAATTATTAAAAATTTATATTTTAATTTTTAAAATCATGAAATCAAGCATTTTGATTCTTAAAATTATAAAAATTTATGACTTTAGTTTCTTAAATTATTAAAAATTAGTTACTTTAATCCTAATAATTACATATATTTATCAATTTAGTTTTTAAATTATAAAAAATCAATAAATTATAAAAAATAATTATTTTAGTCTCTAAAACTATGAGCACTATTTTAGTCTTTAAAATTATGATAAAAAATTTTAGTCCATTTGAATAATTTTTATTAAATTTGTTTAATAATAGTTAAGCGTGACAAATTTAAGTGTTAACATTATATTTACTTGACTAACTATGTTATTAAATTACAAGGTCTTATTTTATTACAAAAAAAGTTTAAAAACAACAATAAAGGAGGTGTATTTGGCTTTGAACTTTCTCTTTCACTTTAACTCCATTATAAAATTAATTGTATACAACTATTAAAAATACTATTATTTCTTATTCACGAAAAATTCTATTTCATAATTTTAATTGAACGGTTCTTATAACTTTAGAAACTAAATTGAATGGTGCATACAATTTAAAGAACTAAGATGATTAGTTTTTTTTTATAATTATAGATATTATTATTTTTTGATAATTTATAGGCCAAATTCATAAATGTTTATAATTTCAGATATTAAAATAACCGTTTTCATAATTAAAAAAATTAAAATGACAAAATTTCATAATCTTAAAAATTAAAATAGTAAAATTTTAATCATTTATGAAAATAATTTTGTTTGTAATTGTAAAAAACTAAATTAATGAACTATCGTGATTTCAAGAAATAAAATGACACTCACAAAGATTTTTTCCCAATATAATTGTAGATACAAAAATCAACAACAATCGAATGTGACTTCACTACTCATCATTTTATTTATTTAGTAGAAAAAGAAAATCATCATTTTATTTCATTTCTCTCTTCCATGTCTTGACCAGAATCAACGCTGCACCCTGATTGTGAGGGTCTTTAACGCATAGAATTGAATGCCTTCACACATAAGATGATGAAAAAAGAACCTACTGAGGAGTCCGTTTTACTATGTGAAACACAAAACACATAGAAAGAGGATCCATTCAGTTGATGAGGACCACAAAAAGATCACCATGTTATAAATAATAATTAAAAATAAAGTTTTACATGAATTACAAATTGAAAGGTTGTGAAGTAAATGTGTATTAATATGAGTTAAAGACTATAATTTCTTGGTTAAGAGTAATAATTTTTTGTTTGTAACCATTTGATATTTAAGAAGTAATTACTCTTTAATATAACTTAAAATGTTGTAATATCACTATTATAAATAATAAATTATACTCATATATTTAGTGTGATAAAATAATAAAATCCTCCTATTATTATAATTCTTCTCTTTTTACCTCTAACACATCATCCACAAAAATCAATGATATCTTGCGTGAGTTCTCCGCTGCCTCATCGTGACCTGTTGGTAACTTCCGCATACTCTATCCAAATTTACCCCACAAGCAATAGAGCTGCCAAATAATATTATAAATGAAAATTGTTTTATATAGACATCAATTCACATGTAAAGTATATAAGAGACACCTCCATCATCAACCATCCAAAATAATGAAGCAAGCCAAATTATTCACCCAGGGTATAATGCCATCTTCCAATGGGTCACATCCAGACATTAGAGGATGGTTCTCAGTTGCATCCATATCAATAATTGCACGATACTTTGTTGTGGTCGCCCTATGCAAATAAGGTCATAACCGTTCATCCACATGCACCATCCAATCGACATAGTTTCCAAGTTCGTGCATTTTTCTTTGGTTGGAAGGAAAATTAGCACAAAAGAAGCGGGGGAAGTGATTGTGGTGTCAAGAGGGTAATGCGACAACATATATCAGGAGACCACATTCTAAAGATAATGCACAGCAATGATGTAGTAATTTTTTAATGAAATAGACGTGACTGTTGGGATGAGACAAGTGAATACATTTAAAATACCACGGTGAAGTGCATGGTTGATAACACGTTTACATCTCCAAAATCATGTTAAATAAATGTAAACATGTTTCTATTGTTGTGCCAATGTCTTAAGCAAAATTAGTTTTCACTGTAAACTTAACTTTGAGTAGATTAAATAAATTGTAACTCTAATGTGTATAATTGAACGAGTGTGTATAAATTTAAATTTGATTATATAAAATTTATTTAAAGGTGAGTTTAAAATAATGTCAATTATATTTAAAAAATATTCTCATAAAAATAACTTTACAGTAGAATTTAATATAATTTTTTAGAGGTAATTTCTTGTAAATCAAGAAGATATTTTCTTCTTATAAGTCATGGTAATTTTTCACTATTAATTTTATATTAATAGATGATAAGGTTAATAATTTATTTTAAAAAATATAAATTTAAAAAAGTATATAATCTTTTTTCAAGTTTATAGATATCGTAACAAACACATTTTTTTAATTCAATACAAAAGTTATAATTTATGTTAATTTAAATATGATTTTGAAGATAAAATCAATTTTAATTAAAAGTAGCCAAACATGATTTTTTTTATTACAAAATGTCGTTACAATGAAATAAACGCTATTCTATAATAACTTAAAAGTGCATCCAAACATTCACTACATTGACTTTAAAAAATTATATGAAGCTTTATTATAAATTTACTTTAAAAAAATTCAAACATAAATTAAGTCACATTAATTTACACTTTCAGGTAAAATCAATTTTAAGTTCAATCATATCTCAAGATTGCAAACACTCACTCAAACATACGAAGACGAGTTCCATTAATCAATTATTTGAAAAAGAATGAGGGACGACTCTTTTACTACATCATAATATGTTTCTTGTGCATGCTCACCCTCCATTTTGATCGTCATTTTTTTTGTCCAAGGCTCTAAATAATTCTTCAGGAAGTAAGGGGGAAAATCAAAGCCGTTTAACGTACATCTCAAGTCATGCTCGTAATTAAATAGCCGTTAATTATAACACTTTGAACTCCACTTCGTTTAGTTAACGCAGAAACAAACAAGCTCTAAACAATCTGCTGTGCCTACCACTATTTTGAGCTTCACCATGTTTTGGCAACTCTTGGCATTCAGTAATCTTTGCTCCATCTCCCGGATTTGTCGCCCCTTTGTACTCAAGGATTTTGCATTATTCGCATTATGCTTCTTTTGTTGTTATTGATTTGATAATAATGCTTCATCTTTATGGTGATCAAGTGATTGTGCATTTTGAGATTTTGAAGGGGAAAATACAAGTATAACAATAATGTGTGTAAACTTGGATCAATTAAGCAATTTCGTATGATATGAATCACTTATATTGCACACATAATTCTTGTTATTAGTGTTTCTGATTTCAGTCACTGCGCGCTAATAAAATAATTGTCGATCATGAGTTATATTATTCATACATCTTTTTTCTACAATATTTTTTACAAATTTTTTGTCCTTTATCTTATTTGTCTTATTCTACATTTCTTTCCCTTCTCTTCCCATATTTCGTGTTATCCGAAAAGATGGTAAATTTAAAGTACAAAAATAATTTCTTTTATGCGTATGATTGACGAAGGTCCTAAAAATTTTATCACAAAAATATTCTACAACGTCATGATCATTGCCTTAAATTGTAGCTGCGAGAGAGCATCTAAAAAGCTTAATACTGCGGACAATTGTGTAAAATGCGGATGATTGGACCTGGTGGATGCTTCCAAAACCATGATATTGCAGCTACAAGCGTGGTTGCAGAAACTATCAAAACCTTGATATTACAACTACATTGTAGCCGCGGATCACAATTTAAAAGCATGTTGACAATAAATTTTTGTGCATATAAATCAAGATTTCAACCCTAAAGAGAGATCTACCTGACTTGCATACTCCAATGCAAAGTCAATTCTAGGAAAATCTAATTTGCAACATGCATCATGCAATGACAAGATGTATTATTCAACATGGAAGTTGTTAATCCCACCCTTGTTTTTCTCCTTTCCCATTCACACCTAGCTTTTATGTTAAAACATACAGATAATATAACAAAAGAAAGGAAAATTATTCATTGACACACACTATTAGAGTGTAAAGTAAGTGAAAGGACAAGAAAGAAAGGAGAAGAGAAAAAGTAAAAGATGAGATTGATAATGTCATACAAAAAGGAGAGAAAAATAAGGTGTGAAAAATGTATGTGAGTAGAATGGTATGTAAAGACAGAGTTGCAACAGAAATGTGATTAAAGTAACCTCTTTTAAAAAAAAGATCGCTTTTTTCACCGTGAAAAAACCTTCAAATTATAAATATTACTTTCAGTAAAAAAATTGAAACACACAGGTCAAACCTGAAAAAGTTCTCCATTAGGATATCGGCATCCCTTGCAAAAAGGAGAAAAATTAGGACATCCCATTGAAACTCTATAAGCATTCATCCATCAAGAAATCAACAAATGACTTCCCCAAATTTTATAGCCAATTACAGAAGATGATTGATTAGGTAGACTGTGGCCACAGTCAAATTATACTGCGTCTACAAGTTTGAGTGTTTCTCTTGTATGTTAAACATACCTAAGCATTTAGGAGAAACAACGAAACCAATCAAGTAATATATTCTCAGTTGTGTAGATGAAAACTTCACTTGCCTCAAGTAAGTATTCATCACCAACAATGGTGAGACTTAACATGTAAGTAAAAACTAACATATCATTATATTAGTCCTTAGGTTTGTAATTTCTATATCACTATGGATATGTTTGAGAGTTGAATTTTGAAGGAGAGGATTTTTAAATTTAATGAGTTATATTATTTTCAAAAATAAAGAAAAGATTAACTATTCTAATCTATTTTTCCAGACTTCTATTTCAAAAAATTATGAAATTAGAAATTGTTAATTAGAAATAATTTTTTTCCTTCTCTTCCTTTTCCCTCCAAAATATAATTCCAAACACACCCTAAGTTGTTAAAATGCATATTCTTGTCGTTAGTAGAGATCGATAACACGTCTCTTTAGCAGATATTAATAAGACTTAACAAAATTATTCATATATCATGTTAAATGCCAACTTTAAAAATTAACCACCAATTGACCAATTAAAGATCCGACAATGAAAGTCAATGAAGATCTAGGGTAAATGAAAGAAAAGATAACAACTTTAGAATTTTATGAGGGGGATAAATTTCAATGTAAGGGATATGACATGTCACTTAATCCGTCCAATTGAAACTTAGTGATTATTTGGTTGGGCGTTAAAAGTTTTTAAGTTCAAGTTTGAAGATGTAAATGTGGTTTCAAATTTATGCCAACATGTTTAACAATTCTATGATATAATTGATTTTGGCCAAAAACTTGTGTTCGAGTCAAAAATTTATATTGAATTTTGGTACAACTTGCTTTTAAGCAAAAAGTTTCTGAACATATGATAAATCAAATTTCTTTAAACTCACTTTTGAAATAAAATCAATATAGTTCAAACTCAACTTTGCAAATGCTCATCAACACACACTTAGTGTGTCGAATAAACAATTTTGTTAGTTGTTACTAATGTTAGTTGATCACATGAACTAACGAAAAATATAGTTAAACATGTTAAGGTGTGAGGACTAAAATAAGGAATTTATTAAGTTAGGTAGACACTGAAGATAAATTGCAAAGTTAGAAACTAAAACGCTGATTTAGTGGTAAAAACACTATGAACCATGTACTGTAAAATGACAGGGTTGAAGAATCAAGTGGCATGAAGATAAGGGAAATGAAGGTATGTTTGTAAGGCATTGTCCTACTGTTGAAAGCAAACAATCAATCAGCCAAACATTGATGAATCAACTTCCTTGACTTGGTCCGAATATCGGAGCAAGAAAAAGCATCGCTAGAATTCATAAATATACTATACACAGAGTTTTAAAAAAAAAAGGCCTTAAGTTAATACATGATTTGGAAAAGGCTAAAAAACGAAAACTTACTAGCTATAAAGGATTGGAGCATGTCGAAAACTGGGGAGAACCTTGAGCAGGTTGATCTACGGCAGAATGAGGAGGTGGGGGATTTAATCGAACAGGCGTACGGCAGGTGGGACAAGCGGCGACCTTGAGGAGCCACGTGTCGACGCATCTGCGGTGGAAGAGGTGGCCACAGGCGGCGAGTCTTCTGCAGCACTGGCCGTTGCGAAAGGGATCCAAACAGACAACGCATTGAGAGTCGGGTGTGGATCCCTTGGAGAGACGAAAGCGGGGGAGTTTGTTGATGTCGCGAAGGGGGAAGCCGTTGGAGGTAGTGGTGGCGGCGGCGGGGGGAGGACGGGATCGGAGGCGGTGGAAGGCTCCGCCGAGAAGGAAGAGGTGGAGGAGGAGGAAGGCGGCGAAGCCCAGGAAGAGGAAGAACAGGGAGGTGAGAAGGAGCATGATGATTGGTTTGAGGAGGAGGGAGAGGAGGTTGGGGTTGGGCTTTGGTTGGGGTTGGGATTGGGATTGAGATTGAGATTGGGGGTTTCCATGATGGTGTTGAGTGGGAGGAGGCATGGTTGTTGAAATTGGAATTTAGGGGTAACAATAGAATGGATAGACAATGATAGAACTGTGAAAGGGGAATAGGAATGTGAGAGAGAGAGAGAGAGAGAGAGAGAGAGTTTCTTAAAATGATTCTAAATCAATGGGCGATAGAGTTCATTGGTTATTGGGTTGTATTGTGTAGATTGTGGTTCTGCTTCCTGGACCCGCGCTAAGTCGGTCTCTCTGTTCTCCTCATACTGTTTTCTTCAATAAAAATATATATTTTTGGTCAATATTATATATTTTTAATTATTAAATTTGTAAAAAATAAATTCATTTTTGTTTAAAATTTTATTTATAAAATAATTAAATTATTAATTATATATAAAAATTTAATATAATAAAGCTCAAATTATAAAAGAGTGTTAAAAATAAAATCCCTAATACACAGTTTTTAATATATATTATATTATTAATTACATTTATTATAAATTATAAAAAAATTTAAATTAAAAATATGCCTTGCATGTTTTACAATTTTTTTGTTGTCACTTTAATAATTTTATTTTATTTATTTATTTATAAAATCAATGAATAATTCATGTATTGTTTATTAGATTGTCCTTAATACATTTTGTCTTATATTATATTTTTTGAAATATTTTATATTTTATCTTAAATTATTTATCACTTAAAAAGTTTAAAAGATATACTGATATCTTTTCAATAATATCCGGATTTATTAAAGATAAAATTTATTATTTAATATAGTTTTTATCAATTAATTAATACAATAATTTCAATAGTTTTAATGAATATATTTTAATAGTAATAATTTATTTATAATAATAATTGATAAAATTAATTATATTTATAAAATGTATGCATTATTACTAAGTAATGTCTAAAATAAGATAAAGAGAGTAATTAACTATGTAAGTACAATATGACAAATAAATAAATAAAATAATCAATATTTTCTCTATTTCTTTTTATCTACTTGGAAAGAGAGATAAATATTAGATGATTAAAAATTATAATCATTTTATTGTTAAACTTACTTATTGTTTATAAATAATTATTTATTTTTGAATTATTTAAATAGTATAAATATTTTAAATAAATAAAAGGTATTAGTAAAAGAATAATAATTAATATTATTTTAAATATTATTTTGAGAACACCTGTAACACTTTAAATTTAATTTTTAAAATAAATAAATTTCACAAATAATGGAAATAATAAAAAAATTTATTTAAATAATTTCTAATGCATAGTTTCATAAATTTTTTAAAATAATGAGGGATTATTACAATTTGAATCAATAATTATTAGATAACTTAATTAATGTATTTTAAAAATAAATACTTTAAGTCCTACAGCAGTATTATTCATCCTTGTACTAAGTCTGGTGCTGATCGTCTTAATCACTTGAAGAATAAATGCAATTGTGAGTACTATACACTATTAACACACACAAGCATAGAGACTCACTTGACATGCTTATACACACTTCTAACATAACTCAAATTTGCACATCAAACAATTACAACATAATACATTTCAACTCACATACATGTACGCTGCACCATCAATAATTAATAAATAACACTCATGTGCGCTCACTATATGCTAGTCACACTCATTGTGACACTATGATCACAATTTTTCTAATGCCTTCAACCTTAAAGACTTACTTAGTTTCACACCATAGATAGTCGTTGGATAACCCTCGCCTCACGAATACAACATGTGTGGTCACGAATCCCTTAGCAAATGTGTTAGTCAGAGGCCGATTCAAGAGAATAGTGTGTGGCCTGTGGTGCACCCACGTTCACTATTGGTGTCACCACCACCTTCTTTTCTCCAAGGTATTTATACCGCCCCATCTTCTACACTCAAGTGTATCGCTGAACTATTCATAACTTTCCAACATATTTAAACACAATTACAATCAACATTCACATGCCATTCACGCACATTTCCATCCATTCAATTATTTTGCATCAAGCAATAACATGCTAACACATAGTTTTACCCACGATTCAATCACATTACAGTATTCACTTTCACACATAGTATGTATGCCCACATCCAATCATATTACACACAAACGTCCAAATTTTTCATAAAACCCTACCACAATCAAGTCATTCATTGCACACATGTCTAATACTAATTTCATCATGCTTAATCAAAAATCTTTTATCAAAACACACTTATTCCTACATTCTATCTCAATCACATTGTAACTCATAGCAAATATTTGGATTCAAAACAAATGGAAATAGGGTAGAATCCTCCTTGCCTCAAATCAAATACCCAGCACGAAATCAACAAAAAATGTGCTTCCCACACAAGTTCCATCCTAAATACATAGAAAACTCTATGAGAAATCGAAAGAAGAAGGAAGGGAAAGGAAAACCAGAATCCTAACTCTTAGAACTTACCTCCCAGCGTCCAAAACACAATATTAACATTCAATCCAACTCATGAATACCTTTGGAGGCAGTTTAATCGGTAAGAATGAGTTAGGAATTGGGAGAATAAAGAGAGCTTGAAGGGAGAAGTGGAAAAAATGATTTTTCCTAAACCCTAACCCCTCAAATATCCCTCTGATCGTGACACTCTTGCCACAACAAAAATCTCAAAAGAAATTGCATGGTTTCTGCAAAATCTCACTACAACAAGACCCTCTCGCTACAGATAGACTGCATCTTCTAATGTCGCCCTCTTGTTGCAGAGGAGAAATTCTCGCTACAGTGAGAATGTAACAGTTTCACCCCTATCTCCCAGTGCCTTTTATCTACAACGAGAATGTCACAGATTCATGCCCTTCGTCTATGGCCTTCTCACTACAACGAGGATTCACTTGCTACAGCGAGAACGCCTTTGCAATACAACCACATCCAATTAATAAAATCAATCACAAGTCAAATATCCTCATTTAATTCACATATATTTTCATACATATACACATACATTCACATCATCATACACATCAAATACACATTCAATTAGAAATTTATAATTTATATTAATATATAAAATATCATTACAAAATTTAGGGCATTACAACACGCATTACAATACCGTCGGATGTTTGCTTGGGATATTTTACAGACATTGACTAAGTAGAGTTTAAATCAAAATTTGTAAATGTAGCAAAGAGTCTTATATTAAAAAATATTAATGACCGTTTACAAATAAAAATTCACAAAATTTTAACATGAATTCATTCCCCTTAAGAGCTTGGAATTTTCTAACATGCAGAGATAATATGTTTTTGAAATTGATCCGTGGTGTGAGTGACATTGATCCGATTATCACCGACAACGCCACCGTACGAATTGCCTTTGATACCGCGTGTGTCTAGCTCTCAGCTGTAACATACTAAAATGTGTGATAAAATCTTTTATGTAGTTAGAAATAAACACATAAAGGTATTTTTTTTATATTTATAAATATTTTTTTATGTCAGTATGAATAGCTATACTATGAATTATTTCACTACATCTCAATAATATTATATTTGATTATGGAATTTTGAATGTGATGAACTGATAAAATTGATGTGATTAACCTTATTTTGTGTAACAAATTTTTATTACTTCTTGTAACAACAGTAATAACTGCTTATTGAAAAAAAAAAAAAAAAACTTGCTTGTGCTTTATTTTTTATCAGAGCTTGCGTTTTGTTAATAACAGTAATAAATGCCTTACTAGGCTGAAGGCCCAATGTAATTGACCTGACATGAAGAAATCCAACTAACTCAGCAACGTAACACTTTGTTAACAAAAAAAAAAAAAAAGGCAACATACCACTGTCTCTGACAAAAATAAAAAAGCATCCAACCACAATCATTTTATCAGTTTTGTCTGTTATCACTTAATTATGTTTATCATTATTCTCATTTAAGTAAAATTTATTTACAATTTTTTTATTAATCAAATTAATAATAAGAGTGTTTTAAATATATTTTTTTGAAATTGAGGTAAAAGTAAATAGTTGTTTCATTTAAAAAATACTGTATTGCTCTTACAATTTTTTAGAAAATATTTTAATAAATTTTATAATCAAAATTATAATATCATTTTTATATAAAATTATTAAATAAATATTGAGTTAAATTACTTATCTAGATATTAAAATCAAACTCTATGTGACTGATAGAGTTGCAAAAGAGCTGTTTGACTAATAGGTTTACTGCACTGATTACCAATTTAACACACTTTTAGCTTTAAATTTGAAGTATATTGAATTCATATCTTACTCCGTGATTGACAGGCTAAAGAGAATGTAATTTAATGTTCAAGTGGGCTGAATGGGAAAAAGAAAAAACACCTCAGATGTTATTTAGAACCAGGAGTATTTGTTAAATACAAAGAAAAATCCTACCAAATTACTGTATCACCGGTGCTGCAGCTGGTGCTTCGTGGTAGGGAACGTTGAATACTTCACGGAAACGAGAGTCAACAAGCCAACAAATAAGGGTTAGGATAATAAAATTTTATACAATTAAATTAGCAACTAAGTAAAAATAAAAGGAATCGCATTTTATACAGTTGAAATGAGTGAAACTCAGATTTATTAACATTGACCAAATACGTGCGTGTTATGTAGGATGGGTATGTTTCCGTCACTTCACCGACAAATTGGCATCACTACTCAGCACCATCCCGAAATTTCAGTCTTGACGCTGGGGAAAGTAGAACGGAGCACACGCATGTTTTCGGATTCAGGGTTATTCAGTGTACTTGTCAGTAGCAAGGATTTGGCTCATTTGAACTTCTGCAGTACAACATACAATTTAAATAATACTGTATTGAATTTTTATTCATTATTTTTTATTGATAATTATTATTCTCTACTTTTTCAAAAACACACTTTTTGCATTTTAGAAACACAATAATCAAGATTAGCCGCAGTATAATTTTTTGTATTCTATTTCATCTCCAAGACATATCAAGATGGGAATAACAACGAGTTGATTTGATAACAGAGGTTAGCTGTTGTTGTGGTGCATGTTGACCACAGTGAAATAATTACAGTAGTAATAATAATAATTAGTTATTAACTAGTAATAATGACAATGAAAGAATGTGATGGATCATTCAGAGAAGATAAAAGAAGTGATGATTTATTTTTATGATAAAAAATAATATCACTTTTTTTTGTTTTAAATATGTTATTAAAAAAATTTAAATTAATTCAGCTCTATTTTTAAGTATACACTTGTTTTACTGTATAATTTTACCTGGTTTGAGCATAATTATATGTGATTTAAACAAAAAAAAGTATTACAATCTTTATTTATTATTTATTTCTATTTAGAAAAACAAAAACAAAAACAAAAACTAATATATTGTGACCACCATGACCTTGGACTTTTAGTTGCCATTTATGATTATCGGTATTAAAAGGTAAAACTTAATGCTATTTTTTAAGTGTTATATATTACCATATAAAAATTTGATATTGTATTATAAAATATTCCATATTTTTTTATAAAATATTAGGACTCATCTGTTTAGTTGTTTTTAATTTTGTAATGGAATTTTTTAATTTTAAAAAAATATCAAAAACAAGTTATTTTGTAAGGTTCATATTTTAGAAAATTACATAGTTATTATAACTTTTTGTTAAAAAATGTTTTTAATAAGAAAAGTATTTTTTTTCTAAAAAATAATTAACAAACAATCCCTAAATGTGAGAGACAAATCTCATACTAGATGAGTTAATCACAAATCTCGCCTGGGCCATGCATGCCACTCTGAATCTTCAAATAAACAAGAAAGGACAAACTTATCATTATGGATACATCACCACCATCTGTTACATGACCATTGCTGGTCCAATTCAACTTTTTGCCATCGTCCGCTTCTGCGCCTTCCTTTCGTTAGCTAATCTCTTCGTCCTCTCAACGTTTGTGGTTGCCAATAATGCTATTGCAGTTTCGTATAATACCCCTTTGTCAAATAAGAGTAAACATAAACTCAATCATGCAGCATTATAGTACAGAATTATTTATTATTGGTTCTCTGATAAGCCTAAACATGCGTGAGAATTGAAAAGGAGGAGACAAGTTATTAATATTCTAACACTCGGTTGCACTCCTGTTAGCAAGTTATCGAGTATTTCTTTTTTAATACAACATTTATTCAGTTGTTGAAATGATAAAAATATTTATTTTCATTTCTAATTTTACATGTGATTTCGAGTGAAGAAGTTGTTTTTTTATTAAAGTTCATTCTGTTTTCTAATTTTTAATTTTAGGAGCACATCGTTATATTATTTACGTCGAGTTTTTCTTTTGTAAGGAAGTTTTGATTTTTTATTAGTTTTTTTAGATTCTTATTAATATTTGTACTTTTTAAACTTTAGGATGGATATAATTCTATAGATATACTTGTGCTTATCCTGAGTCATTAAATTTATTGTTCTCTTTAGAAAAATGACATCACGTTCTAAGTGACGATGATTTAGAAAGAAAAAAAATATTAATTCGTAAGATAGATATTATAAATCAATCAAATTAATTTTTAAATTTGACAATCATCATAAATTTTGCTAATCTTTAATCAAATTTGAGATCAAATTAGCATATGCCAAAAAATTTAAGTTCCAATAATTGATAGGTGCTAAAATTAAGAATCAAGTTGTTGATGAAAGTAAAATTACTGACGGTTGTTAGTTTCGATAATTAAAAGAGAATTAATTTGTTTAATAAAATCAAAGAACGTTTATAATCTTATAATATATTTTCTAGTCTTTTGTTGGGAGTGGCATCTGTATTGATATTATTAAAGAGGAAGGTACACGAAGAAGAAGGTTAGGTGCACAAATTACAGCAGACAGCAGCATCCAACCGTTCCCGTGACCTTATTAACATCAGCCATCAATGTATTACTAATTAGTCCAGTGGCTGCCTCTTTTCCAAGCTTTTGAATGTTGCTTCTATTAAATGCAAAGCCCAGCATGCACCCACGAGTCCCTTGCCTGCCAATTTCCGCGAAGCTTTCTAAATCAGCAACACTGGACCAAACTGGAGATAACCATTCCAATTTGAATTTGAATTTTCATTTCCACCGTTATGAAGGCTAAGGTCCCAGATATGCATTTAATACACTACCCAAACCCCTGCTCTCTTCCTACCTTTTTCATAAAGATATATTCATGGCTTTCTTAAAGTTCACATTTTTTACACGTCATTTTCTTCCCAAGACTCTCATTGGGGTTAAGTGCGCACACTTTCCTATTTACTAATTCTTTTAAGTTTTCTTGGCGGCACCATAAAAGGGGTCGTGTAATATTGTAAACATTTTAATATTCTCGTATCTGTGAGTAGCATGATATAGATATATTTAAAAAAGACAATTTTTTTTAAAATAAATAATTCACTGTAATTAATTGTAAGATTTATGAATAAAATTTGATAAAAATTGTAGATTTTCTTCTAACAGAACAGTATCAAAATACTTAAATAACACAAATGATACAGATTAGGCATCAACTTTGAAAGGAAGAACAAAAGCCACAGGAAAAGATGTTCAATGGATATAGTAGTTATTTACAGTTGGCAATGTGTACAAAAATCCAGTTTCTGGGGGATTTTATGTTTGACTTTCACTTACTCATGTCATGTATCACTAAAAATGGTGTGCGTCCTGAGACAATAATTCAACACCCCAAAATCAATTTTAGTTTGAATGATTAATCAGATTACAAGAACATAACTGCTGGTAACAGGATTATGAGAAGCAAAGAAGATTTACAAAAATATTACAAGATTGTAGTATCAAATGAAAACTGAGACCTAAAATATTTGATGATTTAATGTGGCCATTGAACTGAGAAATCCTCGAAGAGGAAAACAAAAGAATCTTTCTTTTACATTTTTTCACCCTCAACGGAGGTTGACTAATTTTCAATGGAACAGCAGCAAACTCAAAGCAGAAAACACTGTATTCAGATCTCCCAACTCATTTCCCTTTTCCATTTCTTTTGCATCTTTCTACCACTAACATTCTGCTTTTAACAAATTTAAATTCCAGAACTATAGGATCGAAGAAAAAATGGTTCCCAAAAAGGAGATAAAGAAATAAACTAGAGATTGGAATCGGAGGATGAATGAACAACCTTATTCTGTCTTCCCGTAAGCCAAAGCAAAGTCCTTCTAGCAAAAGATGGCGCTCTAGTTTGAGAATCCACACTATAACAACTTTGGCTTTCTTCATCATAACCGAACTCACTTCCTCCTCCACTCACCCATTTCCCAATATCCATATCAGAAATAGTACTCCTTGTGTCAAACTTGCAATTCTTTGCCTTCAAATCGTCTGTGGCACTAGTAGAAGCAACAACAACGCTACGCTGTGCTGGGAAGCGAAATGAAACAGCCCTTCTAGATGAATCTGCCACTGCATTTGGCTTATCCTTTTTCCCCCTAAGCCAAATCTTTGATATAGAAAAACTCTCCTTTCTGCTCCCAATAGCAGCACCACCTCCACCATTACAAGTACTTGCGGCACCATCAACATCCTCAACAATAGTAGCATCAAAGCCTGCGAATTTGAAATCCCTTCTGGATTCAAAGTCACATTCTGACATTGCAGGCCTGTGTCCTGGAGTCAAAGGCAAAACACGCTTCTTCTTACTAGATTGCTTCTTGATTGGGGTCCTTATGGGTACTTGAAGTGAGGAACTCTCATCCATAACATAAGCAAAAGACCCCATAGAAAAACACCTTCTAGCATCTAAATTGTTGGTGCTACTTCCTTCACCATCTCCACCATCCACGCTTCTGAACTTTCCCAGCTTAACAGTGACCACTTTTGCCACTGCATCTCCTGCCACTGTTGGATCAGGATTGTCACTTAACTCAACCGATTTCAAATCCACACGGGTTGATCCAAATTCACTCTCTCCCTGGCAATCAATGTGAGAATTTGTAGTGACAACAGAACTACTTCTTCCAACTGCAGCCTCAGGAAGAATCTCCCTTGAACTCTCACTCCCAGATTCTAGGACAAGAACAATGGGAGAACAAGCGTTGTTTGCAGAGAATTCAGGAAGCAAGCTGGCTCTACAAAGAGGACATGTAGAGTGTGACAAGAGCCAAGTATCAATACACTCCATGTGAAAAGCATGGCTACATTTTGGCAACAACCTGAGCTTGTCTTCTGGCTCAAATTCACACAAACAAACAGCACAATCAAAAGGGTTCTTGAGTCCTATGATGGCTTTGTAAAGGAACACAGGGAGAGTGTCAATAAAGGACTGGTCAACACCAGCATCATGAAGATGGAAGAGTTGCTGCAATTGGCCTTGAAGAGCAGTGACATTATCCAAATCATCAGGCTCTCTACTTTGAGGTCTCCATAGAAATCTAACGAGTAGGTGTAGCAAACCAGAAATGAAGAAAACAATAGCTAGAATTATAATGATGAGAAGAATGCTAGGACTAACCTTCAAGGCCTTATCGTTAAAACTGAAACTATCAGATCGAACAGTAGGAGTGAAAGGTGGGTTTGGCTGAGAAAGAAAATATGGTGGTTGTTCTGATGGAGGCACAAAGGCGTCTCCTTTAACTTGTGCATAACTCCTACCCATTTTCTTCAACTCACCAAAGATTACAACTTTTTTCAAGTGCAAATAGGATGAAGCAGTTTTAAGACATCATGTGGTGCCATGAACCGATGGGAAAACTCAGATTAGTGTTTTTCCGGTTGGGTGCAAAAATAAAAGTAGCAGGGGAAGACACGGTATAAGAGCAGCGCTTTTGATGGAGACAATTTGTTTACTGTGTTTTGTTTTTTACTGTATATTTGAACCTGTAAGTCAAATAAGAGGTTAAGAATGAGATTCTTGGACCAGGGATTTAAAGGGTTTAGTATATAATAAAGAATATATTAGTATGATGATTTGCAAGTCATCGTAAATTATTAAATGATAATGACCCACTAATCTGTCACCGTGTGAAATTTAATGAGATTAGGTTAGACCTTTGAACAAAAATCACCCTCCTGCATAATTCTAAACCCTAAATTTAAAACTCATTCAAATTATTAATAATCTCAATGTCATCAGTAAATTTAATTATATTTTTAAAATTCTTATAAACATTTGAGATAAATGTTAATTCATGCTCCAAGATTAAAAAATTAAAATAAAAAGTTTTAATTAAAATTTTATTAATTCACCACTTTTGTAGCATGAAAGAGTGATTTTGTAATACGTTGTATTTAAGATCTCAAATAAGTGAATTTGTAAGTTTTTTGCTTTGATTTTGTAAAGTAATAATTGTAAAAGAGTTTTATTGCATCTTTCTAATTATGTTTTTATTACTGTATAAGTGTTAAATAAAAAATATATTTTAAATATTTTTTTAAAAAATTATATAAATTATTAATAAAATCAAGGTCATTAATAAATTAAATATATTTTTAAATTTTTATAAAATAGTTAAAAGATCTTATATTTGAAGTAAATACTAATCAATATTTTAAGCTTAAAAAAAATATTATTAATACTTTTAACATATTTATATAATTTTGTAAAAACAAATCAGTGCTTTAAAAGTACTTATTAGTAGTACTCTATATTTAAGATATCAAATTAGTGAATTTGTAAGCGTTTTGTCATATATTTTTATTATCTTTTATATAAAGTAAGTATTAAATAAAAAGTATATATTTATTATTTTAAAAATATATAGTTAATGATTTTTTTAGTAATTCAAATATTAATAAAAATAAAATATAGATAATTTATAATTACTCATTATAAAATTAAGTAAAAATAATGTAACATACACAAATTTTTTAACACAACTCATTAAATAAAAATATTAATTGAAAAAAAACTAACACTTTTCTATTTTCTTATAAAATAAATTAAAAGTTCTAAAACTTACATCTAATATAAGAGGGTGGGAAGAAATAGCAAAACGTTGTAGCAGTAATTACAATGGCGTAATCACCCTGCCCTGCCCTGCCCGCGAACTAAAATGTGTGAATGGTTAAAGATGGTCTTGTAGTTGACTTTTCCATAATGAGCCTTTACCCTGCATCAACCCCAATGCCCAATTAATGTCCCCGAATTAAGATACTATTATTACTACTAATTAATTAATGGATGTCAGAAGAAAATAATGCAATTGCTTCGAATTGGAAATGTTTCCCTGATAATGTTTTATTTAAAGTTTGCCATGACCCTGATCACATTCTTTTCAGTTCTTCTATTCCGTTTCCAATCTGAATCCAAAGGGCTGGTCCCATGGCACAATTGAATAAAACAAAAGGAAAGTGGGAGTGTAGAGTCTATTGGGAGAGGCACGATACATCTGGAAAATAATCAAGTGTGAAGCATCGGATACGGTAAAGTAAATACTAAACAAATCAACAGATAAAGGAAAAGCTTTCTGGAATCCATAATCTGGGAAAGTGCCCTCATTTTATTTTATGTTTTCAGTTTGTCTTTACTGGGAATTCTCGTACCCAATTTCCCTGCTTCTTAAAGCGGAGCCAGGGTTTCAACCAAACACCCGTCTAGAAGAAGGGTTTTCCCTTTCCCTTTCCCTTTTTACGCTTCTGTTAAGAACCCAGTCAACGCACTGTAATCAAATCATTTCTAGAAAAGGGTGACGTCTTCATGTTCTTTCAATTCTGTTTTTCTTTTCTTGCCTTTTATTTCATCTTACACATTTTAAGGATATAAGAGATTACTCCTTCTTAAAAGGGTTTCTTCTAACAACAAAAATGGCTCACCAAAAGTTACTTTTTTTAGAATGTGTTTTCTAGAAGCATGTGATCTTTTTAGAAAAATACAAATTCGATAAACAATAAAAAAAATTGTCCGTTCAATCAATGGAACTGATTATCAAATTTTTAAAAAACATGCCACATTTTGATTCTTTCAGTTTATAAATTACCTATATGAATAAAGGAAAGCGTGCAATAACCGAAACCATTGCATTTTACCCAAAATAATTTGATTCTTTCAGTTACATTTTGTTATGTGTGAACTATACAATTTTTTACCTTTGTTCCATTTCATTACTTATTACTCTCTGTATTTTAAATTCAGGGACGTTTTCATAACAAAATTTTTTATATTCAATATTATTTTAAGATTTTAATACAATATTAATATCTTTATTTCAAAATTTCCAAAATAAAAATAAAAATAACAAAATTTTTAATATTGTGAGTTGGTTTTTCAATAAGCAAATAGAATAATAATAAAGAAAGTTTAATAAAATATTTTATTAATTATAATATTTATTATTTTCTTTAGCTTTTATGAAAAAAACTTTAAACGCTAATCATTTCAAAATAAGTAGATTATTTATTTAACCCATTAAGTGTAGGAAGATCATATGTTTAATAATTTTGCACTTTGTTAATATTTCATGCATTATAAATCGTTTCATTTTAGTGCAACAAAGAAAGTCTAGTAAGTATATTAAGAAAACCTTAATATAAATTATCAAATATTCAAATCTTAATTAATTTTGTATCTCAATGTATTACAATATTTATATGAGTTTTTTAAACGAAGACACTCCCTAACCTTTGCTCTTAAAAATATACAAACCAAATGTCCTGATCATCGGTACTTTAAACAATTAGAAGCACCCACCGGGTGGATGGTCCATCTAGGGATGATGCATGGATGGATGTTTCTTGGATTGGATGTGTGGAGCGTGTGCCTCTCTTGATATGGTGGAGGTTATGGGTGAACGAGAACGAAGGTTCTTATCATATATTTAAGGAAATGAAGACAGGAAAGTGGCAGCAGCATTTAAGTTCAATTGACTCTTAGGTCAGGAGTTAGCTATGCTTGGCATCAATGTCCCATAGCTGACGTTAAATCCCATGGTCCCAAGTTTTGTGTGTTTTTGGAAGCCACTTCATAAAATTGAGTTCAGTAGGAGCCAGTTACTCCAACCGTAGAGAGAGCTCCAAGGAGAAAAGACCAAAACTAGACATGCCTAGCAAAGTCAAGTTCATAAGTTGATGTCATGCATTGGATAAATGAAATTGCATTAAACAATTCTTTTAGTTGACGTGTTATATAAAATGCCAAATACATGCTCCAATTGGTAGTCACAATAGCACCTTTAACAAGGAAAAATTATACTATGTTCAACATCGTCATAGTAGTACTAAGTTGCTATTAATGTTAAAAAATAACTTCAGTTGCTGTCGAAGATTTTTTTTTTTTTAGCGAGTTCAAATCTTATTTTACTCTGATTACCTGTTTCTAAAAGATGAAAAAAATCAATGCTTTCCTCATAAAATGAGATTTAAAAAATTAGTCGCTGACGCTATGTGTGAGGGGTTAAATAATGGTCTATGTTGAGAGACTTGAGAGAGGTTCCAATTTTTGTAAAATAATAAAAACTTTGCCTACAACAATTTTCTCTTCAAAAAATAAATACGAATTGTTTAGCATGTTTCTGTCCCTTCCAGGAAAGTTCCCTAACTTGGGTACCCTTAAAGTATAGGCTCTATTCCCCCAGGGAAATTTCTATGTTGAGCTTATGACACATCGTACAGTTGAGATTTCTAGTACATATAAGGATACGAGTGCTTCAGCTCCACGATTGAAATTTCATCTACATCAGAATCCACTCTTATATTTTTACATTCATTTTTATTAAATTATAATATTTTAATAACAAATTTTTACACCAATATTTATATATTTTATCACATCATTTTTTATTTCTCTCTAATTTGAAAATAATTTTATATAAATATATTATACAATTTTTTTTTCATTCTTCCCATCTTTGTTTTTAAATTTTATCACATCTCTTATTTTCACTCTCTTTTTTTTTTGTCTTTCTTCTTACTCTTTTTCCATCACTCACTTTACACTTAAAAAGTGGATGTCAAAATATAATTTTCGGATCATTTACTCTTATAACGCACAAGTATTTCTTGGTAAGTAGAGAACTCCTGATGGCATCGCCAAACAACTTAGTGACATAGGTTTTGAAGCACGGGATAGTAGTTCATAGTAAAGAGATGCTACGACAAAATATAATCTATTTCCAGCTACATCGATCGATGGTCCAAATAAAGGTCGTCTAAATCAATATATGAATGTTTATTTCGGATCAACATTGTTGTTCTTGTTTCTGTAACAGTGCTAACACTGCTAATAATTTATTTCATTAGTGTGAGCTATATGCAATTGATGATAGGCTCTCGTTTCATCTAAATCCTCTTTCTTTGGTGTTGGACAAAGTTTTTCTAGACTGACATATTTTAGCTTTTAGGTTTGTGTAAATATATAAGACACACGAGTACATATAATGTATGGTGTATACAATGTACCAAACGAAACCAAATTAAAGACATTTTCATAACGTCACTGGTCGCTTCCTTCAGTTCGTTATGGTATTATTATTAAAGTAGTTGCTGAGTCATACGAAACAGTACAGCATTTGTCTCATGGGCATGCACTAGTTGGCTCGACGCATTTGGTTATATTTGGTAAAATGCGAATTTTATGATTAAAATGTTGGGTGGACAAGTGACAAATCAGTCCTTTTGCGATTCTGGTTTTGATTTCAAGCGTTGAAATTAACTATATGATGTCCATTCAATATGCGTGTTACACCATCAAACTGCAACAACATTATTAGCTACAAAATTTAGCAACTCGCTAGTGTATGATATCAGAGGAAAAGATTAAAGTCAAGTACGTAGGTCGTTAGAGATGATAAAGTTTCAAAAGTGTTGAATA